CTTAGAATATCTAATTCTGTTTCCAGAACATCGGGACTGCAGATGCGTCGGATGCGGGTGGCAAGTGATTTAATTAAATTCCGCTTTTGTTGAATGGGTACCCAGCTATAGAAGCTTGTTAGTTGACCATTCCAAGTAGGTTTTCTGTGAATCGATCTTCTTAGGCTCCCATCAGTTCTTCTTGTTAGTTCCACATCAAGAAAAGGAATTTTTGACTCGTTTCCTATTTGAAGAGTGAATTTTATTGTTGGATGCCAACAGTTAAATGTCTTCAGCAGTAGATTGGGGTCATTGTTGTTGTCACAAACAATGAATATGTCGTCTGCGTATCTTTTATACAGTCGCAAATTGTCAATTACTTGTCAGGGGATTATTTCTACTGTCTTGGTAACAACTTTTTTGATTCGATTTTTTGATTTTGATGACTTAATTTTGTTTCTTTGCCTGTTCTTTAATCGCTTATAATTCTTGTATTCATTTAGAACTCTTACGTAATTTCGTATTATCTACTTTGTTCCTATGTGCATCCTGAGTAAAACTCACTCATCAAACTATTCATATTATTACATAACTTCTTTTAACAACTGTTTGTGACAACTCATCACCTTTGTTACTACCCTAATTTCATTAACACCTAATTTTCTTGACTAATTTTGTATTACGTAACTCCAATTACCAATCTTCACCTGTTTAGTTAAAATAACTATAACCAATTGTATTTTTGTTTGACAAACTTAATGTACACATACATACAAAATAACACATATATATTTGCGATTGTACAGCTAAGAAAATGAATTCGCCGAAAAGAGACTCTTCGCTGATCTACGTGTTTTGTTTTCATTAATGCCTGGATGGGGATTACACATGAATTAGGAGAAAAGTGGATGTAGGTAAAATTGATTAGACAATAAGGAATAAATCATGCAATTCAAAGGTCAAATCTCATGATAACTAGACGACCGATACCAATGCAGGTTCATTCAATGATAAGAAAATCTCCGGATACAACTAATCACAGTGAATGCCGCCATGGAGAACGGTTATTTTATCCGTGCAGAAATCCAATGTCTTTATTCATTTTGAATTTCTGCGTGGTGTTGCCTATGATTATAATGAAAATTTCACAATTAAACCATTCATCTGACAAAACGCAAAAATACACAATATATATCCACCTGAACTACACATCTCCCTTATTGAATAAAAATATTCTATCAATGTGTGTTAAATGAAACAGACTTTCCTAATCTGGGAGTTTGCTCTTTTATGGTGTCAAAGTTCTACTCTTATAACTCAGGTTTCATTGATTAATATTCGATTAATGATATGTTTTATGCGAATTTATCTGGTATCATTTGTAAACTAATTCATTAAACTTATGATTTGTTTAAGTCTCTTAGTTTTCATATTATTCATACTCACCACTTTATATAAAATATTTGAGAGCTATGTGCGATCGACAATTGATAATTTTAATTTGTGGATGGTGACTAGCAGTGGAATCCAGGATGCGCATTTCGTCCTATTTGGGACTCGTCAACTGGATGTACCTGCATTCCCCAGTGAGTGATGATGTTCCCACCGAGGCTCGAACCCAGTGCACTTAGTTTCAAACGCCAAAGCGTTATCCACTAGACCGTTTGAAACTAAGTGCACTGGGTTCGAGCCTCGGTGGGAACATCATCACTCACTGGGGAATGCAGGTACATCCAGTTGACGAGTCTCAAATAGGACGAAACGCGCATCCTGGATTCCACTGCTAGTCACCATCCACAAATTAAATTCTGATTAAATGCCCAGACATCGTCGAAGCATCTGCACGAGAAGCCGACATGTCAACCTGAGACCGAGCACTTCGGTCCAATCAATCGACGGGAAAATCTCAAATTCAATTAAATTGATGATTTTGTTAAATCAAACTAATTACTGAGTGAAATACTGACTGTATATGTCCAATGACAATCTCAGTGTTGATAGGTTAATCCAGTATTGATTATGACAGTTGTATAATCCTTGTACAACAATGAAATGATGTTATGTTAAGAAGATAAAGTGGCTTTAGGTAACACTATTTTTCGTTCTTCTAAATCTTTACGTTGAAAACACCTCTAGATATGAAGTACACTTAGGAGTAATTACTAGGAGAAACCGAAAATCTGTGTTATACTCTATCCTTTTCATTGATACTCCAAAAATTTAGGGACTCCATCAGTGAACTGTTTTAGATTATAATTTACTATTTTTGTGGCACACTACGAATTATGCTAATTAACTACCGACTGAATCCCGATTAGTTTGCTAGTCGATTCGGGTCCAGAAAAGAGGGAAGATAGTCGTCGAGATAGAAGTCTCACCTCATAACATAGCATAGAAGAAAACAAACTTCTTCTTCGTTACTGTGTAGAAGGTTCCTCTATTCGAAGTTGAATGACGCCGGCTGGTAACTGCCAGTCATATTTCGGTAAAAGCAGAAATGAGTGTGCGGACATGAAATTTTCACGTCATGTTTAAACCGATAAGACTGCAGAAAAAAACGCAGATGTATAGTATAGAAATCTTAGGAAACTAGGAGAGCTGACTCAGTGGAAGTGAATTTTCTAAATTTTTCAATCTATTCAAGTCACCCATGTGGCAACCATGAACATAATGAGAGTGTGGCCGTCATGATATCATTAACAGCGCAGAATGCTCTTATGCTCTTACCGATCTCCTCCAGAACTATGACAGCAAGATTCAACTCAAGAGGAAGATAAGTTACAACGATGTGACGCTACACACATTGGCAAAACGGGACAACTGCAAACAGTATAGAAAAAGACTCCCACCAGGCGGCAAGATCAAAATTCTAGTGAGTTTCATGAATGTCAAACTGGGAGAAGATGACAGGGAATAAACTCATCGGGAGGCGCTCAGGGAACTGATTACGAACAGAGAATTACTTGCAGAAAGCTATGTGGAAGGAAATATGTGTTAGCACCTTAAGTAAAAAGATGTCAAATGGCTCTGGAAGCTGACAGAGGAGAGGAAGTTGATAAGACCGAAGATGGACTAGCACAGAAATGAACGATAAGAGGATAAGCTGAGTACAGCCTGCAACACAATGAACAAAGGAGTGAAGAAGAGTTCTGGGAAAGATAAATGACGAATATATGGTTTACTGGCAGCTAAAGCAGAACTGAATGCAGGCTAAAAGGACTTCGCAACACTGTACCAAATAAGCAAATGGCTATCTGGAAAGAGAACAAAGCAGATGAAACTTGTGAAAGATGATGAAAGGAAACCAATTATCGAAAAGGTGAAACAAATGGAAACTCAGTGCTGATCACTTCAGAGGACTCTTGAGTCAATCACCACCTATAACTCGCCAAGAACTACCCATGAACACCAAACCTCCGATTAGACGGCAGTTTTGAAGTCTCTAAGGTTACTAAAAGCGAGGGAAGCAGTAACAGGAGATGGAATTCCTATGGAAGCACTGGAAACGCAAAGATCTCGGAGGACATACTCATGTCACTACTGCAGAAGGTGTGGAATGAAGACTGCCTCGTCAAACTCTCACAGAAGGGTGACTTAAGTTTATGCAAAAACTGGCCCAACATCATGTGTTTATCGTCTTCAAACAAAACATTAGGCATATCCTGGACAGAATAAAATATGCCCTGAATGAAAGACTACGCTCGAAACAGTCTACATTCACAAAAACAAATCATGCGTGGACCAAACTGCAACATTACGCATCATCATTGGAGCACATAAAACGTATATAAACATGACATTATATGCCGACTAACTTACAACAAAAAGTAGAGTGAAGTGCTTTAATTGAAGACAGGGTAAGACAAGGTTGCCTACTACCAAAGACAATCTACCTGATTGCAGCGGAGAGTGAGAAGATGAGCGTACATTAGACTGACAAAATGATCCAAGAATATCTGCACTTCACGAATGACTGATGTCTCATGTCTCACAAACTCGAAGACTTACAAGGCGAAACCAACAAACTGGCAGAGCTGGAAGTCAGTAGAGGACTCCAGCAAAAATGGAGAAGAAATAAGGGAAGAAGGTATCCGACCGACCAACAACAAACACCAATCACTATCAACGAAAGAAATCCGAAGGAAATCACCTCTTTTACTTACCTGGGTGGTATCATAGACACGCCTCTACCAATCTGAATTCAATGTGAAGATCTATGGCACTCAACAAAAGATGCGAATTTTCAACAGTAATTTCAAATCAGTCATTGCATTTACATGGTTAGGAGGCCTGATACTCGTGTCACCAAAACCATTTCCAACAGGCTGCTGCCGGCTGTCATCATCAACTGCTTTCTCTGGCTCGATAATTAAGATTGGGTGCTCTGCTGGAAATCATAGGCAACAAAAAACTCTGGCAATTAGCGGAGGAGCCATGAACTTATGGCTTACCCAACAGAAATGCAGAACGGGATGTAAGTGGTTTGGATATTCACTGAGGAGATCTTTCAGTAACATCACATGCCGAAAAAGCCGTCTAGTGAAGTCCGAATTGGAAATGACGAGTTGGCAGTGGGTCGGAGGGTAACATGGAAAATATCATGTAAATAGGGAATGGAAGCTTCTGATGATAACAAACCTAGTGCACTGGAGATGTAAAGTTGAGAAACCTATCTGCCAACCGGATTGTCAACGACGTATAAAACTCATTAGATGACAAACAATGTAGCGACCTATTTAGATGGGCTACCCAACATCTCCCCATTTTTCTCATACTTCACGGTTAATAGTCGTTTACTGCGAATGTCACATTTAGTTTATTCGATATTAGTATTCAGTTTGAAGGAGAAGGTTTCAAATATACGAAACTTCCTCTTTTGCCTCAGTTGCTAATTCGAGCCTTTTGATAATATTGTGAATAAGAGCCAGTGTCAAATACTGCTTAGTGAAGCGACAAACTTTTGTATGCGAATAATAATAATAATAATAATAATAATAATAATAATAAAGTAGAAAACTTACCTCTGTCGTTTCTGAATTCTTCTGCCATTCACACCATGACTTATTCGGAGGGAAATAGTGACCATCCACAATACCACCTTTCAAAAACAACTTCACACTTTCTCTATAACTCTCTTCACTGTTGAACAAGGAACTCGGAGTTAAACAGTCATCTCGATTCGGTTCATAGAATAAAAATATTATTGCATGTATAACATCTTTAATCCTATAACATCTGCCAAAACGCCAATGTCAATTACAAGTTGAAATAGAGTCAAACCTCTCCCATGAGAACAGCAGATTAACGCATACAGTATCCTGTAAATTTGTATAGTCAATATTAGGATGAATTATTGGTGTGTAACATTTCACTGAAGGTGTTTCGTTTGGATAGTTCGGAGAAACAGTTATCTAAATAGTAATTGTGAATATTGATTCAGATGATTGTATTTATACAGAAACTTACAGAGAATTCAAATGAAGCATGTTCGTATAATCCTTTATTTGGAGTGACAGTAAAGTAAATCATATAAGGCTGTGTTTCATCTGGAATATGTAATTTCACTTGTCCACTGAATTCTTCATCACAAACAGAAATTAAATCATGAATCTCTTTCAAAAGCAACCGATAATTCATGCTGTAATGATGTTTCAAATGTGTATGCGTAATTATTGACCATAAAGTTTTAGTTAATGTAGTTTATCTATTCTTCTCTCCAATTATTTTAACTAAAGTGTTGGTGTTCATCTGTAGAAAATAGTATGCAATGATTTATTGATCGGTTAGACGAACTGTAAACCACGTGATTAACCTGAATGTGATTGGACAATTCACAACCAATGATAAATCTTAAACGAGGTCTTATTTACAAACGATTTATGTATGCCAATAGCGGTAACTCTAAACTATAGCAGTCCAAACCGAAACTACCTAGCGAACGGACAAATGTCCTTGAGCAACCAATCAGGTGACTATGTTTTATCCAGCCGTAATTATGAATGCTCTATACCTTTTGCGTTGCAAATCCGCTCCAGATCTGGTGTCATACAAATGGTTTTATCAATCCTTTTGATGGAACTCACACTAATTCCATCGAAAAGTTTTGGAGTCACCTCAAAAAATGGATCAGATCGGTGAATGGATCAACAAATGCAATGACATACAATTATCTGGATGAGTTTATGTAGAGGACTTGGTTTAACATGATTATCAAGACTCCTATAAGAAATTGGGAAGTTTTTTTTGGAACATATACCAGAAAGTTATCCTTTGGAACTATTTCTTAACATTGCATTACTTTTATATAAGCCATTTATTAAAATTATGCACCATTTTTCTGAGCCTTCTAATTGGTCCTATTCCATTATCTAAATTATTTCTGTTTATTGACTATAGTACAGTGTGTTTAGACCTTTTATTAATCCCAACCTCTAGGCTTCGAGCCATTACGAAACATTCTTTTTGTACATGTACAGTTCAGGGTTCATTTATGATGCTGACGAAGTTTTTCATGATCGACGAGATTCGAAACATCCTCAGAAAATCTGAAATACTGGACACATATAATCGAAGACATTCCAGGGCCTCTTAAAGGCTAATCAGTAAATTTCTAATTTTCGGTGTCGTATGCTAATGTACTTTTTCAATATTTATTTTACTCATAGACATTTTAATCTTCACTTGTTTGATGACTTTATATGTGGGTATTCATTGGATGGTAAAGTTAACAATTATTATGACACAGTTAATTGGGATTCTTTAAATGTTAGGGATTACAGTGTTGGCTTTTTGGTGGACAGTTTGATTCTAGGCAGCATTACTAGTGCTGCGTGTTCTATTACATATAAAATCGGTCTGTGTAAACATATAATATAAGTATGCAAATTAGATTAAAATCGTATGTTTATATTTGGTACAGGGGTACTACACTAGCTTATTCGAGTAGACAATTGGAATTAGCGTCGTTCAAAGGGATTCGACTCTCTGACCTTATTTACCTAGTAGCATGTGATGATTGTCAGATGAGGGACATAATTCATAGTGGCTCATATGGATCACTTCATACGTTGCAGCATAAAAATATAAGTGAATTTAAATTCATGAGTCATAATAATGTTAGGATAGATTCATAATCATAAGGTCTCCTTCAGGTATATGAAAAGGGACAAGTTTATTTCAGCATATTACATCACACCAATGATATCATTATGGGCAATAAATTCTGCTCGCAACGTCATCCGACAATCAATAATGTTTCGCCGTGTAATATATTGAAATAAACCTACCAATTATGGGATTATATTCTACCACAGTGCCCGAATTCTACACTTACATTTGAAAAAGGGGAGACTTTTGTTAGTCAAACTAACATTCAACATAAGAAATCAAAATAACTAGAGACTTCATATAGAAATTCCTAAACAGACTTTGTTACTATGTCAAGGAGAGAGAACAAAGAGATAAAATTGCTGTATATTGTGCAGCTTTAGACCTATGAAACTGGATCTGATTTGTCATACAGTAACTTAACACATTATGATTCACTGTCTTATTAATTTAACAGATTTTACAAAGTTCTTATTACTTCAAATGAACTGTCGTCAAGATTTGACAGAATAGTTCTAAAATATTTGGGCGCCAAGTGAGAAGTAGACATTTGTAAAAAAAATTATATTTGTAAAATCTCAGCGAGATTGAAATGAGTAATTCCAACGTTTCGTTTGGCAATCTGGTCCGAACTTCTTCAGGGAAATTAATCGAAATTAACATAACAGGGGTTTATATATAAAAGGAACATCACTTGTTTTTAAAAACTTTGTCCAATCATGAGTCATTCAACAAGTATAATAAACAAAATTTTATGAGCTGTGATCAAAATTTGACCTCGAACTTACAAATATTGGTCTACCTTTGTTAAACACTTTAAACAGAGTGTGTATGTGTGTGTGGGTAAACAGTTGTAAAACATTTCTTAACGTCTCCATAAGAAGATATGGACAGTCGAGAATTTTGACCAAGTATTAATAATTAGTGATACATATCCATTTTTTATTTATTAATAAGGATTTCCTATGCATCAGCTAACATCACACCTTCATGTCTGTTCAAACTGTTAGTATCTAGAATTTTATGATTAGACGTATTTTCAAAATTATGGTGTTTAGGATTGGAGTTTAGTAGAAGCACCCTGTCGGACTTATTGCTTTGTCTTCTTTCTGAAGATTGAGCTGCTTTATTCGACCTACTGGAGTTGTCAGGTGACTCGACAGCTACGGATTTAGGATATGCATTCTGTTGCAGCCAACGGAGAGTGAAAACACGATGATTGTGCCAATTACACAGTTTCTTTGTTAATTTAATTCGATTGCAAAATAATTCAAATGAACTGTCGTCAAGATTTGACACAACTGTTTACCACACACACACTCTGTTTAAAGTGTTTAACAAAGTAGACCAATATTTGTAAGTTCGAGGTCAAATTTTGATCACAGCTCATAAAATTTTGTTTATTATACTTGTTGAATGACTCATGATTGGACAAAGTTTTTAAAAACAAGTGATGTTCCTTTTATATATAAACCCCTGTTATGTTAATTTCGATTAATTTCCCTGAAGAAGTTCGGACCAGATTGCCGAACGAAACGTTGGAATTACTCATTTCAATCTCGCTGAGATTTTACAAATATAATTTTTTACAAATGTTCTTATTACATGTTATCTCAACTCCTTAATACAAGGGTCAAAATACACACAAAAAGCTTTTCGGAATCACATAATCGAAATTCTTAAGTGGCAGCACTAGAAATATGTTGCAAAGTGTATGCAGATTTCGGTTCCAGTTATTTTAATTACAGAATATTAAAATACTGTTAGATTTGTATAGGAAAGCGCGACCTATACTTAATATTTACAACGATGCCCTTGAAGGGCATCCAGAATATTTTGTCCAGTTCGATGCCAATTCTTTTGAGAGATTGCAATGAACTGCCACTTTGTGTACGCTTATCTATCTTTTCACCTTTTAATTTACATCAAACCTCGTGCTTTATTATAACTGATAGAGCTAAATTAAAGTGACTGATGTGAAGATTTCGAGTAATAAATCAAAAACAAAGATTTATGCAAAATCGTAGCTAAGTGGTCGGTCAGTAACATGGAACTTATTGGCAGTGGAAACAATTAGATAATCACCTACTGAGTGAATCTTATTGCGGCAAGTCCTACTGATAAGATTTATTAGTAGTATATAAAGAGACTTTCACGGCATAAAAGCATCAGATACAGAGGAGTTACATATGATGTCAGAGAAGGTATATGATACAGCGTGGCCGAGATACATGGGAGACGTGGAAAGAACACAAAGAAATACAGTATGAAGTCCAGAAGTACTCCAACATGGAAAATTTGTGCAAAATGTGTGTTGAACATAAGGTATACAGGGCCTTCTGGTTACAAGGCGAGATCGTAGACCATTAAGCCACTGGGACTTGATCCAGTGGCCCATGAATTCTAACTTCTGCCAACTCTGAATAACTAGTCAGTACCAATTGAAGATGAATTGTGAATTATTATGTAATCTATTACCATTCGAAGTTTTAAGTAAATTATTGATATTGATAAAGTTATTGATATGATTATGAACAATAAATTTTGTTCGAAACGTCATCCAGTAAATAATACTTTTTCACTGTGTGATATATCTAATAAACAAACTAATATGGTAAACAAAGTTAGCCATTCAGAAGACTGCTAATAATATATTTAAATATTTTAATTAATAATGTGACGAGAAACTAAATTTTCCCATGATGTTACAGTTTACCGATTGAGGTTATGCGCATAAATTGTGAAACATCGACAACACAATAAGAAGACGTAGTTAATCTGGAATGTGTAATGTATTTACGCAACACATTTCCGACATTCTCATCACACATGCACTTGTCATACACAGTTACACAGGAGGCGAGAGAGCACGAATTATTACAACACAGGTCAGATTGTGAGTAGGTCAAGGTCACAAATAAAAAAAGGCACCGAATACAATTTTTTTCGATTATAGCTTGAAACCACAGTAATTTTGGTACAATTATGGAATTTGCAGTATGATATCGGTATCCCGAATTTTGCAGGCCGACCATATATACCTGGTGTGCGTCGGCAGGGGATCGAACCCCGGACCATGTGCATGGTCGGTGAGAGTCCTAACCGCTGCGCTGCCGACGCACTAAAATAGATGTTCAGCATCATCTATAGCGAAGCACATAATAGAGACAAGTCATAAATCTGGTTTCAGTAATGCTTTTAAACCCATATATAAAAAACAAGTTTGGGTAACATACTTAAATTCGTTGAAGCCTAGGCCATAAAAAGGCTTAAACCTGCCTTATGTATCCAAAAGTTATTATATTATTATTACTTTAAACCTGCCTTGGTAATCCAATTTAGAAACAAGGTTCAATTTTCAACCCCTTTCTTGTGTTTTGTTGTTTTTCTACCTCTCTTACCCACACTTTTGTGTCATCTCCCTACTCATTATTTGTGACGTTGACCTGCACACAATCAGACCTGTATTGTAATAATTTATGCTTTCTTGCCTTCTTTATAACTGTGTGTAACAATCACGTGTGTGGTCAGAATGTCCGAAATGTGTTGCGCAAATACATTACGCGTTTCAGATAAATAACTTCTTATGTGGTGAGAGCTGGCTGCTAGCCAAAGTTGGTAGACAGTAATTGACGTCAGTGTTTATGTCCCC